GTTCAGCATAAATAATGTGTCTGAAGACGGTAAAACTAGTAATACCGCTAATTTTCCAATTGCATTTTCTGGTGGAGAGGTTTTCCTAGGTTACTCAGATGCTCTTGTTATTAATTTGTTAATTAATACCTTAAATTACTATTCAGAAGCTTATTTAATCAATGAAGCAGTGCCTGTGTTGATGTTTGAAAGATGCAAACAATATTATTCTAAGTTAAAACAAGAAGAAAGATTTAAGGCTGAAAACAATGTCTATGCAGTTACGGCCCAATTTCAAAAAAATATAATTGACTGTTATAAAACGTCAAACAACTCATTTCAAGGATCATCAACAGATCCAATACCTGAGTAACTTCTTACATCCTTAGTCACTTTTTTTTCGTAAGTTTTTTGCTCGTGCGTCAAACCCATCCCTCTGAGTAGAGCTTCTCCTATTTCAAAATCTCTTTTTGTATCTGCATCAGTAAGTGCACTTTTTTGAAAATTGATAACTGTGTCAATATTCAGAGGTTTAACCTTCTTCTTCTTTTCAATCATTATGTCGATCACGGTTGGTTGATTTTTTTTATTGGAATTTGCAATAGAGTGGTTTGAAGAGGTTTCAGGATCGAATCGCAAGTCGCTATATGTTTTTTTTTTGGTGGTCAGCCATTCTTCTCGTGAAACATCTGTGGGCTTAATAATTTTTCCCACCAAATTTGTTTTTGGTCTAGTATTCAATAAGTTTTCGCATTTTATCGTTTTCCCTTCACATTCAGCTTTAGTAATAACAAGTGTATTTCCTTCTTTTGGTTTGGTTTTTAACTCATTGTTTAAAGCAGTTGATAATGCTATTCGTTTTTTTTTTCGATCAAGAGTACCTAGTGAAGCGAAATTAATCAAGTGCTTTTCAGGGTTTGAATTTGACTCCATCTAAATCATTCTAATGATCATAATATTAAAAATTTATTATTTTTTTTTACAATAAATTTTTTGCTTTCTAAAATTAACCGAAGTCAGTTTTTATAACAAATATGATTTCTGTTGTAAATAAATTTTGGAAATCAGTTTTCTCTGCAAACAACACTAAACCAGAATTAAGTAAAGTACCTGCTATTGTCTTCGAGATTTCAAACGAAGAAAATTGTAATTTAACTGACGATGACCTTATCAAATACGGTGTCGATTCTAGCAACTATGTAGCCACACGATCCCAAAGGACGAAGTTAAAGCTCAACTATTTTTTGTTTGAAGCTTTTTCCATTGTCAAAAAACAGTACACTCTAACAATAGTTCATAAAACACTTTTATTAACTTTTGAAGTTTTAAGAAATTTGCTCGATAAACAAGTCATTTCGGAACAATCGCTAACTGAATTTTTCAATTTAATAAAAACCACATTAATAGAAACGCAGCAAACAGTAAAATCAACTTCTGAAGTAGCAAATTACACATATGTTCTTACACTCAACTTTTTACGACAGGTTGATTTTTTCAATTGCTCTTTGGCTTACAAAACTTTAGCAAATGAGCACGTGATTTCATCTTTGTTTGTTATAGCAACAAACTCTAATATCGAGTTTTGCTCTGCGGCTACTGAAGTATTGAGAAGTATTATCACTTTGTATTCTTCAGAGAAAATAAATACATCGTTGTTAAACCACTTCAGTTTCGATCTCAGCGCTACAGGTAAACATGCTGCTGGTACAATCATTCACTCTCTTGAATCGAAAAGAAACAAGTTAGTGACTAGCGCCAAGACTCTAACGACAAATGTTAGTGACTTTGACAAGATATACGCTCTTTCAAAGGATTGTATCCAGATTTTGGCTTTTTTAAGGTTTGTTGAAGCGCCAAACAAAATTAGATTTTTTATTTCACAGTCAAAGATCGACAACATCATGACTTCAGCTTTGAATCTAGCGAGTTTGCTGTATAATATACATGATAACGCTTTTTCCTTGATACTAGGAAGTTTGTTGCTTACGGCTTTATCATTAGATGTCCAATTCAACCGCAATACCTGTAAATCGCTGTTTTCTAAGCTATATGCTTTGCATGCATCTTCTAAAACCAATCAAAACGAATATTACACATTTTTTTCATTACTAATCAACCAGCTATATTTGAAAGGTTTAGTTTTAGAAGAAAAAATCGAAACCACGATTTGTTCTCATTTATCAGATTTACAATTTACTGATTTGTTTGAAGACTCTGACTTTAAAGTTTATTTTGCCTTATTTATCAAAATACATGAAAACATAAAACAGAATGGCGAAGGAGAAATGCTAAATTATTTCACTAAATCAACAGAGGCAATACTATTCGGCGAAAAATTTTCTATTTTCAACACCCACAAATTAAAAAAGTCAAATCTACCGTTTTATAATTACAACAACTGCTCTAATGTTATTATTACACCATTGATTCCCGCTATGTTAGTGTTTTTCAACCTCCAATTAACAGAATTTTTGAATAAAATCGGAAAGGTTTATTCGGTGAACTCTGTAGAAAAAACACTTAAACAACAGCTACCCGATATGGATTTCAACCATTTACGTCGTAGTTTTAAAAACAAAAAAAACCAGGAAAAACTCAGCGACGACGAGATTGTAAATTTATTACAGTCTCCTGATAAAATATCCAAACCTTGTAAGATCTTGCAAAAGTATGTGTCTGAAAATAACTTTAATGCTCTTTCTAATATTGCTAAAAAATTGAATATAAAATTTGACAAATCGCTTGAAGAAAGCATGTTGTCTGACGACAAAGAGAATAGTGGAGCTTTGAACATAAATAAATTGAGATTTTTAGAACTAGCTGCCCATATAGGCTTTGAGATACTCAATTTAATTTACAAACAAAACAATATTCTGCAACACGAAGATCAGGACACTAGAGATTTATTCGAGGTGTACAAAAATAATTATGAAGCCGTGATAACGTTGTGTGAAAACGTTAATGACGACAATGCAAATACTGTTATAAATGAAGCAGCTTATATTAACGTTCAATTTGTTGCTATTTCTAAAAAAATAATCAATACGAAATCACTTGAATGCGTAAACACAATCAAGTCTTTATCAAGTCGATTTAATGCACTTCAAGCTTTAGAACAGCTTATATTTTCTAAAATTATTTATGAAATAGCGCAACAATGCGACATCGCTGGCTTGAAGCTATGGTGGAAAGTTGCCATGTTCGGCGATATCACGGATGGATTAAATGTCGTTTGCGAAAACTTCGATCAGTTGATAGATGATGAAGAACAATCGATTGACTCAGAGCTTTTGCTTGCTAAAACAGAAAATCCTTTTGATATTTTAGTTACTGAATGTGAGTCAGGTGATGAAAAATCGACTAGTGAGTCTAGACACGCAAAAAGACATATAGAGCTAACTTCATCTGCAAACAAACGCTTTAAAACCAGCGATATCAATTCCAATGAAGAAGAAATAATTGGTGAAGCTTTAGAGTTGAAAGTGGAAACAAATTCTGCATCGACTGAAGGCGATATAGTAATTGAGAACGATCAAAACATAGATTTAGTTAGTTTATTGCTTGATGATAACGACGATTTATTGGCTGACAAGAGAAAGACCATGAACGAGTTTAAAAAAATAAATGCCAAAGACGACAGATATAACAGGGAATACGCTCAAATTTTATGTTCTCGTCGTAACTTCGCAACTAAATTTCTAATTCATTCTATCGAATCCGTTACAAAACAACTATCAATAGACGATGAAATTGAAGATTTGTGGGCGAATTATTTGACATTATTTGAAGAATATTTAGCCTTAGTAAGTTTTTTTATCGATGAAATTCAGTTTATCTACACTGATAACGTCTTAATGTCGACATATAAACAATATCACAAAAACCTATTATCTCTTATCACTAGTTTCTCACAGTTTTTCGAAACACTTACATCGATATGTTCAACTAAAAATAATAAAAGTACTGAAGACATTTGTGGGGTTGTTTTGTTTCATATATACCAAGTAAAAAACTTATCAGATAACATATCACCCGTACTTTGCAACTTTAAAGACATCGATACGGCGTATCACGTTTTTCATTCATTTTTATCGGTCATGAATTTTTATGATTGTTTACTAAAAAATGTTAAATTCACTTCAGATAAGATTCAAACTCTATTCCTCAACCAACTGGAGTTTCCAGCTATTACTAGTCAAGACGAAGTTGCTCTATCTGATCATGTAAACTTTAATTCTGAGCGCAAACTCGAAACGCAATGCAGTTCAGAAATAGATGACATTGATATAAATGATGTTTTGAAAGTAGATGATAATGTCACTTTACATAAGCAAGACAATACGGAACAAACAGATGAACTTTTACCTAATAAAAGTTGGGATATTTTACAAAGTTATTATTGCCACCTAAGTAAGAGAGTTCCTTTCCACTGTAAGTTCTTACGGTGTGAATCCTGTTTGTCTCGCAAAAATCAAGACAAATTGCTTCCCAGGTGTGCAAGCTTAAGTGCAGCAGAAGTTTATATTGCTAACTTTGCGATCGGCGCCGTCAAAAGTAAAAAAATCAATGTGAAGTTACTTTACAAAATATTAAAGTACGCCAACTGTTCTGATCGTACATTTATTCATATAAATCATTACCTTTTAAACTTTTTTTTTAGCAACAAATATAAATACAGAGAAATTCTTCAAATGATAAACTCTCTAGTTTAATTTTTTCTTATGTAAAATAGGTTTGGTAAGAATTGAAAATGCATTCTTATTTGATAAAATGTCAATAAAAATGACTTAAATTATTCATCATTGTAAACTTATATGCACCGTGGCTATAACTAGTAATATATGTACACTATTAAAAATGTAAACTATTTTTACACGCACCATTAGTATGTCAAGTATAAAGAAATTTCCATCAAGGAAGGCGTGATAAGTTTCAAATCAACAGAATTTATCAGTGAGCAATGTAACTAATTACATATGTTTATTATTAGCATGAAACGAAAAAAAGAAGAACAATTAAGTTCAGAACCGATTTCCGGTTCGTTGAAACTTTTTACCAGGTTGTTGATCGTTGTTTAATAATCGTTTGTTAGGCAAAAGCGAAAATTTAGCTGCCTGTTCATTAAGGATATTAAGTCTTTGTTCACATATATTTTTTGCTGTGATAGAAATAGTAGGCTCAGATGAGTCTCCGCATGCGTCTGTACGTGCACATAACGAAATCTTGTTCGCCAACACTCTTGACATTTTACCCTTAAGTTTAGTGCTAGCTTGTCCTACAAGCTTGGCGTGATATATAAGCCCGTATTTAGGAGTATTAGACTTGGCTTTCAAAGCTCTAAATAAAGCCTTTTCAGCTCCGAGAATTTGAACTGTGGAAGCTGGTAATTTAGCCAAGTTATTCAGACTACCGCTTTGAGCTAATAATCGAGCGGCAAGTGTTTCACCGATTAAATAAGTCATGTTAGGTGCGATCGAATTCATTCTAACTTTTAAATATTCAACTAGTTTGTTTCGGTATTTCGACAATGAAATGACGCGGGAAGCTATGTTTTGGATGCACTCGAGATCATCGTCAGTGATTTCACTACCCATTGAATTTTCTGCCAGCAGCCTAATCTCTTTCTCAGCAGAGGCATCTATGCCAACAGATTCGAGTGACTCTAAGTTTTTTATATTTGTACGATATCCTACTGCAATAACAAACTTAGCGAAAACATTGTGATTTTCAATATGCCTCAAGAGCTCAGGAAAGTGGAAACCATACCATTCCCGTAATCTCATAGACAGGTTGTTTAGTTCCTTGTCCAAATCATCTAACAAACCGACAGCGTGAATAACCATGATATCGACTTTTTCCGGTGAGTAGCGGAGTTTGAAGCGGGTTAGACTATGTGCTAAACTTACATTCAAAACATTTGAGTCTGACAATTCGCTGACTATTTTATTCAGATTTTCACGCAAGGTGCGGAATAGTTCCTGGACCGAAGAACTATATTTCACATTTAAGCCTAATGTGTTTTTGATGTTTTTTGCCAGTTCTTTGTCACAAACTGCCAAAATTTCATCGCCAACTTTTTTTTTCAAAAATTTTTTCAAAACCGGACCCATTTCGCTTTGCTGAATTTTCAGCACATCTTCAGTGGCATGTTTCAAATCTTTGAACTTTTTCCACGACACCAATTTGAACATATCAGGAGTATATTTGACATTTGAACCAACCAAATCTGGCTTGTCTACTACTTGACTGTCTGAAATGCTAAACAGGCCATATCCTTCCGCTGTTTCACATAATATCAACATTCTGATCTTCTATTAACATTAAGTTTTTGTCACCTTGCGATAAATGTCACTACAATTTTAAAGTTTAATTGCAATAAAAGAACAAAAAAACAATAAAAAAAAAAACGTAAAAGTAAATTTGGACCAAATATATTATATATTCAATCAAAAAAATCCATGTAACACCTTATTAATTTATTATTAACATGCATTAATTTCATCACTATATACTTAATATAATTTTGCATCATAAAAAAAAAGTTACTTCCTAGTAAAATAGTATCTAACTTTCTATTTTCACCTTACATCACAGTTGTCATTTACTAGCAATAGAAACTTCGTTTGTAATTTATAACGAGTTTTGACTAAAATGGCAAACAGGTTGTTGTCATTCCAAGCATTATTCTTTTTCGTAGGTAAAAATTTAAAACATAAGTTTTAGCAAATTCTGTTGTCATGCTCTAAAATCGTTGAAGCCCATTTAGGTACGTTTATGAGCTTAAATTTTTTTAGGCACTGTGCCAGACTTGATAAACTACTTTGAAAATTTAGCTTCGAGCAATAAACAAGAAAAATCGAAACTACGGCGTACAAAATCTGATGATGAGATTGTATCATCTCGATTCCAAAAATTTCATAATAATCGGATCGTTGACCAACCTTATTTAACATCTGATTCCGTTCACAAGTTGAAACGTGCTCATTCTCATGATGGCCTTATAGAATCTCATTTACATCCTCATTCGTCCAACGATCACATCTATGCTGTACCGATTGAGGTTCGCAAAACTGCGATTTCTAACAGTTCTACACCAAAACCAACTAAAAAGCCGATACAAGAGCAGAGATTTAAGGTATTAGAAACTAACAAACACCTCGTTAATTCTGAACATAATATGGTTGATGAAAAACCTTTTCCAGCCCCTAATTTTGCTCGAGAATTAAAACATGATGACCTTATAAAATCTCATTTACATCCTCATTCGTCCGACGATCACATCTATGCTGTGCCGATTAAGGTTCGCAAAGCTGCGATTTCTAACAGTTCTACACCAAAATCAACTAAAAAGCCTATACAAGAGCAGAGATTTAAGGTATTAGAAACTAACGAACACCTCGTTAATTCTGAACATAATATGGTTGACGAAAAACCTTTTCCAGTCCCTAATTTTGCTCAAGAATTAAAACATGATGCTCATCATGATGACCTTATAGAATCACCTTCAGATCCCCATTCGACAAGTCAACTTGAGATGGTTGACAATCTTCTTGATTTTACATCAAAATTAACTAACAAAACAACAAAGGAAATTCTAGATAAAATGGGACAAATCGCAAAGAAAATTCATTCCAATGAACTCGTTATAGGCAATCCTAAAATATCTTATAAAAAAAAAAAAGAATTAATAAGAAAAAACGAAAAGCTTAACAAAGAATTAATCTATTATAAAAATTTCGTTCAACATAAAGCTTCAGGCCTTTCTACATATGACAGTAAATTTTACGAGTTATTAAACCATGCACAAAATATATTTAACAAACTAGAGCGTATTGAACAAGATTTACGTGATCCAACAAAGCCCAAATATATGAAAGACGAATCTGCAAAAACCAAAATGTATTTTCTCAGCGATATAATTGAACTCGCATACGAAGCAAAAGAACGTTACAACATTAATCTTTTAAAATATCTCAAAAATACAAGCATAAACTATAACTTCGAAAAAGAAAAAAAAATTCTGGACGTTACAAATTCAAATAATAATACAAACGATAAAAAACAAAAAAACAATTCTGGAAGTTTTCTAAATGATATAAAAAAATCATCAATTATGAAAAAAATGTCAAACTTATCTAAATTTAGAAAAAAACAAGTTGGAAAAGATGATGATCAAGATAACGATGAAAACGAACTAGACGATCCAAAATCACAATCCGATGAAGATAGAAGTTCTTTATCTAGTAAAGACACAGAATTTGATTATCATCCAGATAACGAAATTAATAAGAAAAAAAAACATCACAAAAGAGTTAAAGGATTTTTCAAAACTGGCAAATATAAATTGAATCATGAAGGTTCTATACATAGTAATGCTGATAGTGATTCATCAACACAAACAGAAACCCCATCAGTAACAGGAAACGGTGAAATACATATCAGTGATGATGAAATACATACCAGTGACGACGAAATACACACTAATGACGACGAAATACACACTAATGACGACGAAATACACACTAATGACGACGAAACTAAAGGATTAAAAAATTCCAAAGATAATGAACATGACAACGATGATATAGAAAAAAAAAATTTTTTTAAAAAAGTTAAAGGAGTTTTAAAACCCTTTAAAAAATCGTCCAAAAAAATTAAAAATAACTTTAATAAAAACACTGACAACCCATCTAACAATGATCAATATGCTGAATTAAATGGTTTAGATGAAACTGATTCGAATGATCATACAACAAATGTAGCAGGTTCACCTCATAAAAAGTTGTTTCCTAAATTTTTCCATTCAGAAAAGAAAGAAAGTGACGAAACGATTGAAAAAAAACACAAAATCCTTCTTATAAACAATTCGAAAATAATATTCGACGAACTCAATAAAAATAAAAAAATCCTGGCCAATCCAGATACGAATAAAATATTGAGAATTCATGCAAGCAAAAAACTACTGAGATTAAAAAAAAAATTTGAAAGAAATATATTTCAATTTAAAAAGCGTTACAACGAAAATCTTTTGGATTATATATTAGATGATCACAATCTTGCTAAATCAGATGATGAAAGTAATAAGCTCGATTATATTAATTCACGTAAGTTTTCAATCATTAAATATTTTCAGAAAAATCAAAGTCTGATTCATTTTTAGATCACAAACTAGACGCTAACAATCTGGCAGACAATGAGTCGACGCATGGCGAAAAAATATTCAATCAAGACGACGTGTCTATTGAAGAATTATCGGATAAAGAAGATAAAGACCAGCTTCAGCCAAAGAAAGTTTTAAATGAAATTCAAAATGTTTTTTCTGATGAAACTGAAACTAATGAAAACAAAGAAGACTTAAATGAAGTTTCTGACGAAACAGTTAATCCATCTGCAAACAGTTTAGAGTCTAAAAAATCCAAAAAATTAAGTGATCATTTCAATAATTTTAAAACCCATATTGGGCAAGCGGTAAACAACTTTACGTCCAAAAAATTTCGCAAATCAAAGAACAATGAAAATACGTTAAATGATTTGGACATTAACGACCCTGTAAATGACCGAACATCGGATTTTAATCTTAATTCTGACACTGAAATTCATGAACATGATCAAGATCCGACGAAACTCAACGATGACGATGTTTCTCCAACATCAAAGAAAGAACATGATTTTGACGAAAACTCAAATTCAAATAAAAAAACAAGATTTAAGTTCATGAGAAAGTTTACAAAACACAAAATCAACAACCAGCACAGCATCGATCCTCAATTACCTACAGTTGACTCAAAAGATTTTACTAATAATGTAGTTAGCAGTAAGGAACTAATGAATCATCAAGTAAATGACGTAGAAGATATATATACTCCAAATGATGATGATGATAAATACAACTACAACACCGTCGGTAGCAATGTAAATGGCGAAAAGTTTGATGATAAAGTTTTTTCTTCACGAGCAGAAAAACACGATTATATAAATAATGAATCCAAAAATTATGGTTCCATACCAGATGAAATACTCAATTTTAAAAAAAATGCTAACCTTGATGATGAAGAAAATTTGTTGCTACAAAATAGTTTAACACGGCGCAAGACAAGAAACAAACGCTCCGAAAGTCCGGCGCAGTCTGACATTAATGTTGACGATGAACAAGAAAATGATGAAGATGAAATGTATTCATCTGACATAAGTACACCAAGCAACGACAATAATGATACGCAATCACTGCAAGAACAAGAAATACACAAGAAAACGCTTAATAGAAAATATCCGTCTCAGAAAGATTTTCGACACCAAGAAGAACTAAATAAAAACTATATTTTTGATGAAAATCAACAGAAAATGCCCGTCCTTCCAATCTCCAATCCAATTTATGGTGATGATAAAAAACCAAACGAAAATACGCCATTAAAAGATGAATACATGGATAACTTCCGTGAAGATCATATGCCAAATAAGGACTCATTGCAACTACAAAATATGAAAAGTTTGAACGAGCACGTTTTAATTAATACGCCGCTCATACAAAGAACAGTTCAACTTTCAAACGAAATAATAAATAAAATTGCTAAATGATTGAGGAATGCGAAACTCAGCGAAATAACAACAATATTACACATTGTTTTTAATGTGTCAGTTCACCAAACACATTAATTATGGTTACAAAATTTTTTACTCGAATAAACAATGCAAGCAATAACAGAAGAGGCATATTGTGATTTAGGAGGTCGAAAAAAACCTTTTAAAAAACTAGTTATTATAACAAAAAAACTTAAAATCACTATTTCTGGAGAAGAATATTCTGGAGCGCCGCTCCAATCAAGTTTTACGCCTTTAATTATGCATCCAAAAAAAAATTCTAAAATTTTAAATCCATCTCTATATATTTAAAATAAAAAATTTTTATTTAAAAAACATGTCTGGTGATAAATCAAATCACAACATTTCTCGGACAATTACATTAGGTGCTCTGATAGGTGCACTGGTTTATTTAATCACTCTGAATACTTTTCAACCCATCTATTCATCTACAAATCTTGCCAGCTATATTAAAAATGCTCCAAATTCAATTTCAATCCCAAATACCAACTTTATTCGAGGTGCTCAAACTGAGATGAATCATGCTGTACCACAGGAACAGCTCATACCATATAAATCGCATGAGTTTCTCAAACATGACGAACAATTGTACAATCTTCTTTATTCCCAACTTATATTCGACTCAGACAAACAATATTCCTCTCTCAAGCCCGGAGGCTGGGTGGACAGTGAGATAATAGACCTATATATAAAAATACTCAACGATCGGACGCCCCACCGGCTCGGTAACCCACATCCAAAATTCTTTTATGTTTTCCCTGTTTTTATCACTCAAGCTATACTCACCGAATATTATACGCAAGAAAACATTAAAATGTGGAATGAATTCAGATCTGGAATCCCTAAAGATTTCTTGGAATACGAATATTTATCGTTTCCTGTGAACATCGACAATAACCACTGGGTTTTAGCAGTGGTTAACTTAGTGACTAAAAATTTTTACTATTTTAACAGTCTTCAATCATACAACAGTAGCATAGTAGCAGATCCACAAGCAAGATATATTATGAAGTGCATCAATGATTTTTTAACGTTTGAAACCGTGGCGAGACACAATGAGCTTTTGCAAAAAAATAAAAACACTTTTTATACTGAAGATACTAACAATGATCTAAGTGTTATACAGTCTAACGAACTAAAATACTATGGTAGAGATACTAGAAACTTAACAACCGTTCCTGACTTGGTCTTTAATGATCTTACCAACATCATATATTTCTATCAAAATGATAATCACAGCTGCGGCGTGTACATTATAACGCTTATGACATTACTAGCTACAGCAAGACTTCATCTTTCAAACTTTGGAGAATTAATTAGCATAGGTCGAGTTTTAACTTACGCAGTAATAAAATCAGGACAAATTGATCTCAACTCAATTAATAACACAATGCGCAATGCTCTTGCTATACTTAGCAAAATTGAGCGGGACTAATAGTAAATAGTTTATAAATACCATACCTAATTAAACAAATTTATTTCAAATTCAATAACAATGTAAAATCATAAAATTATTCTTACATCTGAATTTTTATAATAATACTATTTATATATGTGCGCTATGCCTTTTTTAATTTTATTTATTTGTTTGAATAAATAATTTTCGAATTTTTTTGACAAAGAAATTTTACTTCAATTCTGGCTTAACAATAAGTTTTTATTTTTATGCATGCATCATCTTGCTCTGTAATTTGTTTTAGCTAGTAGTAGTCCAACATCTTAACTTTTTACCTATTATTGATAAAGTTCACATTTGTGACCGTAAAATTCTCCTTATAAAAAAAAAACATCACAACATTACCAGGTTTATAGCTTCTAGTACTGGAAGCTTTTTTATTTTCCGAGATACACTACAAGAAGTGTGCGGAGTTTCGCCAATCAATTATTAAATCCAATCTTATCTAAACAAAATCAACACTTTGCGATCGAATCAATGCGCTACAACGTCACTAATCGATTCAAGTTAATTACATAATTTTATTAGATATCGAACTTTAGCCTATAAGGTGGAATAAGTTGTGTCTGAATGAAACGTCGTCCCTTCAAACCGACAAGTACAGAATTTTCTATTAAATTATAAAACTATTTCAGCACTCGTGACAGAATTCAAATTAGTGTTAATATTTTTAATTATCCAAAACATCTGAGCGACTAAAAAAATAGCAAAGGTTATTTGCGGCACTTTGACAAATGGCATATTATACAGCACAAACTTGCTTGCCCACTTTTGGAAAAAAAGCCCAAGAGAAACTAATTTGTTCTAAAATTTTGATAATAGGATGCGGCGGCTTGTGTTCGGGGCTGGCATCTATTCTAGCGGGAGTGGGCGTTGGCTTTATTCGTTTAATTGATGATGATTTGGTTTCAGAATCTAACTTGCATCGACAATTATTGTTCGGCTACGATTCTCTGGGCAAGCCTAAAGCAGATGTTGTAGCGGCGCGCTTGAAAAATATAAATCCAGCTGTTGAAATTGAGCCTATACGAGCGAGTTACTCTTTGGCCAATTATAGGCAGTTTTGCTCTGGAATTGACTTAATCGTAGACTGCACAGACAATCTCAGCACGCGGTTGTTAATAAGCAAAGCGAGCACGGAAATGAATGTTTCAGTTGTATCAGGAGCAGCGCTAAGATTTGAAGGTCATGTTTTAGTCTACGGAATCAATGGCACGACGTATGAAAACTTGATGGCTTATGGCAGTTCAAAACTTGTTGGCCAAAATCTCAAAGAACAGATAGTCGAAGAGATAGAAAATCAAGTTATGAACAAGTCACAATCATGCTCTCGTAGCGGAGTTTTGAGCAATATCCCCAACATTATCGGAAGCTTAATGTCAAGCGAAGTGGTAAAACTGTTATTATCATGGAAATCCAACTACAACTATTTGACCTACGACATGCGCAATCTTACCACGCCCATCAGGTATTTTACTTTGCATCCAAAAAAAACTTTATCGGTGCCACACTGCATCATTAAAAGGACTTCTTGTGTCCAAAACGTTCAGCAAGTTTCATCTAGCAAAACGTTGACCACGCAGCAGTTGATTAAATTAGCTTCAGCTGTTCCTACTTTAGTTGTCGATCTTCGCGACGAACAAGATTTTACAACTTTCGGTAGCATCAAAACAATGTGTGTCCCCAAAACAGATTTCTGCTTCAAATTGCTGGCTTGCATTGAGAATGCACAACTCGACCCGTTGAAAGACTTTTTGACCCATCAAAATATAATTTTTCGCTGTTACAAAGGAATATCTGCGATAAATTTAGTTGATATCCTTCAAAAATTCCAAGTTTTAGTTTCAAGCGATCCTAACTTCAGTAAACTTTCTACTTTAACCACGATAAACTTCTATGCTTTAGATCCAGCCAGCCACTAATTATTTTTACCGTTCAACAAAACTAATTATGCTCTACTTGATCAATGAAAACTAGATATTCAATGTTTAATTTTTATCCCCGTGACAAATGAATCGAAAAATTCAATTATTATGTATTTTATTGTTTTGTTCAATATCTGAGTGGGTATTACTTTTAATGCAATTTGCCATTGATAAATACTACTTTCGATCTAATTAAACTTTTATTTCTGTTCTAGAAGCTAGCGTGTGCAATATAATGACACAATTCCCAGCTAAAATTTCGACAGTTTAAATAATATTTAGTTTTATTAAAATCCAATTAATTTTTTAGATTTTTGCTTAAAATTTATAAAATAAAATTATTTTTAGTGTTGAATCTATTCTAGTTGGTCAAACTATTCTGCTCACTTTTATTTTTCTAAGAGAACACGGGCGTGATTGCAATTTAATTTTAGGTCAGACTTCAACTACATAGACAATATTTCTACACCTTACTTCAGATAATATTAGATCATTACTAGCTTATACGACTAAATTTATCAATTTCTAAATACATAACAAATTCTCTAAGTAAGAACCACGTTTATTATTACTTGTTAGGTTAAATTACAGGTACTAAAAAAAATAATAGGCACAACAAAATGCTAGGTTATGTGTAGAGCACCAATATTTTAGTTTGAAACTGTAATTGATGTTATTTATAACTGTTGAGTTATGTCACGCTGATACTAGTTTTTTTCATGACTAGATAAAACATAAACAATACTTTATATCAATTATGTGCATCCAGAAAAAACGTAAGTGGGAATTTTTTGCAACAACTATGCTGACAGAAAACTTTTTATATCAAACAAAAAATATATCGCTCGTATTTGCAGTTGCTGATATTAAGTAGTGAAAACGCCTTTTCCAACTGCGGAAAATGTTTGATAACAAAACAAACAATTTCCAGTCCAGTGTAACAAGAGATAAACCAGCATGAGAACAAGAATAGCGAGAACGTGGTAACATTTACATTTGTACTAATGTAGAACAACTACAAACAGAACTTTTAAAAAATGTATCAATCAATAAATTGTGAAAACAAAAAAAAAATCCACATGTCTCTTGACAAAACTTTACGCGTCGCACGGATTTCTCATCAAACTTGCTAAGTTTCTGGCATAGTTTTTCTCAAGACATGTGAAAAACTACTGAGAAAATACAAAAAAACCACTCAAGTGAGCTCTAAAGGCTGAAAACCAATTAAAACAAAATATAGCACCCTAACAAATGTTAATCAATAAACTGAAAATTTTTTTTACAGTTAAATGAACAAGACAAACTTTAAAATTTTTGTATTTCTACTTAAAAATATTGTGAAAAATATTTAAAAAAATATTTAGCTATCACGATTATTACTATTTAAAATTACAGTGTTATCTGATTACTTTATTATTTGTCAACTTTTTCACGGTTAGGCATATTCAATTAATTTAAGTTGTTTTCCTCATACTGAATTAATTAATTACCTCAATCTTAAAACGGCGATAAATATCATGTCATTATCCAATAATCCAACTAATCGTGACGAACCTATCAATGATGAAATTGTCATAAACGAACATTATATTCCAATAGAACCTAAGTCTTTCGACGTTACTTCTAATGGTATCACGAAATATACACTGCAGTCGATGTTTTCTAACCTCAGAGTTCCTAAAGTTTACCAGTCACTTAGCGATAAAACTTGGCTCGACGACTACGTCATAGACGCGTTTTCTGAATTGGTAACTGAAAAATTTGCCGAGGACCCAAACAATGCTTTATCGTTTCATGTTTTCACTTGTCATTTAATCCCGACTTATTTTTATAGGTCCACCTACAACTTTGAAAACGTGTCAACGTGGACTCAACACGTACATGGGACAATCTTTGAAAAAGATTTGCTTTTTTTCCCGCTCAATCTCAACAACAACCATTGGCTTTTGGCTGTTGTACATGTCAAAAGCCAGCTGATTTTTCTACTTGATAGTCTATCACCCAATTCGCACCATAGAACTCACACTGATCGATTTATTACTGTTATCGAACACTACTTAAACGACGAATACAAACGCGTATACAGAAAAAAAAAGTCTTTTCACTCGTGCAATTCGCCTTTTCAGCTGAAATATGCCGGTGCTTATTTGCGATTGCTATATGATCCAATGTGTCCTCCCATCCATACAGAAATTATGAATTCGCGCATACCTAACCAAACTAACGGATACGACTGTGGGATTTACGTTCTGCTTTCGATTTTCCTTATTGCCACTCGTCATTTTAATTTGTCTATCTTAAACGATTTGGCTCCAATCGGCAGGATTTTCATTCTTTCTGCACTGTTGACAAAAAAAATCGATCGTGACTCTGTTGCGCCAGTAATTACCAAAGCGTTAAATACTCGTCTAAGGAGAGAACGGCTAGTATCTGTCCAATCAATACATTTGCATCGCTAATTGTGTTGACTCAGAAACTCTTTAAAATGCAATAACTCAAATTCTAGCATACCACTGTTAAATCGACTTTTTGGGTTTCACAGCACAAAGACTAGATCAAATAGTCAATCTTAATTAAACCATTTAAGGCTTTTCTATAGCAAAACTCTTGAATAACTTCTTGCTGTTAAACGCTTATCAAAATATGTTTTCACAATAACAAAGGTTGTGTATTTAATGATTATAAAATATTTTGTATCCTGGATAAATCTATTCTGCTTCTTGCGTTTGCTTACTTGAAAACAATATTACGAGTAAAAATATAACGCGTAGTAAACTTTGATCATGTTTCAATAAATTGCTAAATTAAACATTATTTTTCTTGATGAATTTAATGAACTATAAACGCCACTATCACCCGTCGGTATCGACATAAAAAATTTAGTGTTTTGTATCTCAAAATTTATTTCCAAAAATTAGGATAGTTTTATAAACACGATTATTTTTATCTACACGTTGTATATGCATTATATAATTTGTAAACTGTTTGTAGAAAACTAATTTTTCGAATGCATACGAAATTCATAACACATTTATATATACTTGCATGATGAAAAAAAATATTTCAAAAAAAATGTACCTATGCGTAAACAGAATGTCAAGAAAAAAACTTTCTGTAGTTTTTCAGTAGAAGTTACAAGAACCATTGTAATGCTTATAGAGGAATTTCCTCATGTTTCAGCAACTAATGCGGGACAAATCGATAGTGGAAATAATAATCAATTAGGAACGATTAGGGAAGGTCATGTTAAGGATATGAGGGAGATAATTGAAAAAAAACTTACGCCACAACCTCAAAACACGAAAACAGCCAGGCAGGAACCTATTCGTCTTAATCAGCCAAAAACAACTGAAAATAAATCTTCAGATACGAACGTGAAAAAAATTCTGCCGATACCCCAACCCTTCCCAAATTCTGTCACCACTGATACAGAGAACACACAAAATAAGCTTCAGAAAAAGAAAAAAAAGAGTTTTTTTAAAAAATTTTTGGGTTTTACTGAAGGTGTGACCGCGCCAATCCTTGGTTTAGCAACAAGTACTATTTTAATGTGTACAGGATGGCCATTATTTGTTACTCTCACCTCAATGAGTTTTGGAACTATCATGTTCGCCGGACTTATTATCGTGTTTGTTTTGGTCGCGCTTATAATAGTAGGAAATACAATCTTGCACGAAGAAGAAAAACTACAGAACTTGATCGAAGAGGATTTGCTCGATGACTCTTCTACTTCTTCATCCGATTCTAGTATTACATAGTTTTTAACAATTCGTTTCGCTATTTTTTAAATATAAGCTTAATTATAAAATTCTTAAATTTTGTGCAGACTTATCAAAAAAAAAAGTAAATTTGCTTTTGTTTTCTCATCTTACCGCAATTTACAATTAAGCTGCAAAGACGTTTTTCATGTTGAATTCACAAATAGATAAACAAATGTTTATTCCAACGGTTTCCAACAATGTCGATGTTAAAAAGGTGAGCAAAAAGACTCTCATATCTCGCTCCATAAAAAAACATATTCGCAAACTAGAGACAAAAAAAACAGCTAAAGATGCTTCCACGGATGACGATAGTTTAGTGATATCTCTAAGCACCAACGTAAACAGCTTCGACATCGAACCTGCACGCTCTACTGAGTCTGACGACCCAATAATGGACCAGCTGATTCGAACAAACGACGAGTCACTTGTAGCAAAAAAAAGCAATACCAAATTCAACCACGATGAATTAGAACGAACTATTATCGTTAAAAACTTAGCGGCAGACACGCCTGTCAAACAGTTGCTGAGCCACTTGAAGCTTACAAGTAAAAGCTACGAGTGTGTTAGAGAGCGTTCTTTACCCATAGATAAAAAATTTGCTGACAAAAAATTCTCAGCTATAAAAGCAAAGAAGTTCAGCTGTGAAAGTAGCAAGAACTGTTACATTTTGCTCCATTCTAAGGAACTGGTTCCCTTTGTGATGCAGCAGAACGGTACCTTGCTAAATAATCGCCACTTATTTATCGACAGGGTCTACGTCAAAGACAAGAAAGCACTTTTCGACCCGTCCTATAGCATTTTCGTAGGAATGCTAAAACCAACTGATGACGAAGAATCGGTTTACCAAGCCTTCAGCAAGTTTGGATCCATCAAAAACATTAGATTAGTTAGACACCCCGTCACAAGAGCCAGCAAATGCTTTGCCTACGTGTTATTTGATTCAAAAGCCAGCGTTCGCCTCGCGATCAAACATTTTTCCTCTAAGAAGGAAAACCAGCCGTACGTTGTTTCCAGGGTAGAGAAGCTTTCAGTTCAAAATTCCAAAAAAGAAAAAAAATCAAACGAAAAAGTAGAGAGAAAAAAGTCGGTTAAGGAAATTCATAAAGCCAAAAAATTAGTTATTAAATTAA